ATTATATTAGTTTCAAGTGTACAATATAATAATTCTGTTTTTATAAATTGCAAAATGATCACCTCAGTAAATCCAGTTAACATCTGTCACCATACCTAGTGACAGTATTTTTTCTTATGATCAGAACTTTCGAGATCTACTCTCTGAGCAACTTTAAAATATACAGTACAGTCTTATTAACTATATTCACCATGCTTTACATTACATTTTTTTTTACATTAAAGTATAGTCAGTTTACAATGTGTCAATTTCTGGTGTACAGCATAATGTTTCAGTCATATTACATTACATCTTCATGACTTATGTATTTTATAACTGGAAAGTTGTACCCTTTAACCCGCTTCATCCAATTTGCCTACTCCCCACCCTCTGCCTCTGGCACCCACCAATCTGTTCTCTGTGTCTGTGAGCTTGGGGTGTGTTTTTTTCATTAGTTTGTTTTAGATTTCACCTGTGAGTGAGTTCCTATGGTATTTGACTTTCTCCGACTTATTTCACTTGGCATAATGCCCTCAAATTCCATCCATGTAGTCACAAATGACAAGATTGCCTTGTTTTTATAGATGAATAATATTCCCCTGTGTGTACACACATACACACACACACACACACACACCCCTTTTATTTACCCATTCATCCATCGATGGACACTTAGGTTGTTTCCATAGGTTGGCTATTATAAATAATGCTGCGGTAAACATGGGGGTGCGGATGTCTTTTTGAATTAGTGGTTTCATTTTCTTTGGATAAATACCTAGAATTGCTGGATCATTATTCTACTTTTCACCATCTGAAATAACCTTGTTGATACAATGTTTACTTGTTTATTGTCTCTCTCCTTCTTCTAAAATATAAACTCAATGAGCTAAACCTCAATATATTATTTACTGCAGTATCTCCAGTAACATCTAGACGCATGCCTAGTATTTAATAGCTGCTAAAAATATTACATTGTGTGAATGTGTGAGTGAACTAACCAAAAAGAGGTTCCTCTTCCTTCCAGATCAGATTATACCACGTTGTCAGTTTCACACACAGACTGGAGAGTGTGGGGAGGGTGATGGAAATTAGGTCAGAATTCTCTTTTTTGGTTTGACTCCATTCAATCCGGCACATATTTACCAAATTCCTATTATGCAGCAGGCATGAAATTCACCCTCAGGATTCAGCAGAGAAAAGTCAGAGTCCTGCCCTCCTGCCACTTAGCGCCTGGCAAGAGAGTTAGACACTTAACAACAGTTATCAAAGTAATTGAATAGCACTTACTTTGTGCCACATAGAATTCTAAGCACTTTCATGAGTTACCTCATTTAATCCTCAGCACAGACTTACGTGTTAGGAGTGATGATTATACCTTGAAGAAAAAGGCAGATATCTTATTTCTCTTGTTTACTGTTGATTCCTTAGCATCGTGTACAGTGCTTGGCAGAAGTAGATGCTCAACAAATACGATGAAAGATGAATGAATGGAGGGGTGGGTCTAGCTCAGTGGTAGAGCACATACTTAGCATGCACAAGGTCCTAGGTTCAATCCCCAGTACCTCCATTAAAAAAAATAATGAATGAGTGTTTTAAAAGAGGAGGATGTTATTGGAGAGTCTGTAGCAGGAGGATTTGATCCTGTCTGAGGCTTTAAGAAACCTTTCTTTGCTGATGTGACGTTTTATTTAAGACTTGAAAAATGCATAAGAATTTGCTCTGCTTTGACTTGAGGGTAAAAGTCTAGGCAGGCTCAGTCTGACTGATCTTAAATAAATGAATTTCCCCCCGCCACACCCCAGGGTTTAGTTTTCTTTTTAGCAAAATGATAGAGTGCAATGATGAAACTTCCCCAAAGGAGGCTGTAAAAACATGCTGAAAGAGAATGGTCAGGGTGGGCTTCCCACGAGAGTTGGGCTTCCACGAGAGACAGCAGCAGAAATGGCACCAGTGGGAACGGGCTGCTGGGAGGCCTGAGTCCATTGGCCCCAAGGCAAGGGCTCCAGCTGGGACTTGGCAGGACGAAAGTGATGGCTTCTGATCTCCCAGGAGGTCAGTCTAAAGAAAAGCTTGGGGCAGCTGGTCCAGAGTGCAGCACTCAACAGTCTCCCAGTGAATTAGTTTTTTTGCTGTTGGATGTCAGAACCTGGCAGGTGGAAGTCATCTGGGGCCTTTCTTGTCTCTGGGCCAGACTCCCGGCCCTTCTCACATGGCACCTAAAATGGGTCACCTTTATCTTTCCCTCCTCCTAGGCTTCTAGTTCCCCTTCAGAGACCTCTTTCTGCCCTTGGGCCCTCCCTCCAGGCACCTGGGCCATTGCCTTAGAGCCTCCCCCATCCTCATACAGATCTCATCCTCTCCTGGTAGCCCTGTTCTTATCTGTGATGACATTGGGTATATCAGAGTCTAGTTCCACTTACGGACTTAATGACTGCTAACTGTTCACTTGCTATGCCTTCAGTAAGGTAATTGCCTTTTTACAGGGATTTTTTGTAAACAACACCTAATGTGAAAGCATGGATTTTTTTTTAAATTCTTATTCTTTGTTGAAGTGTAGTCGATTTACAATATTAGTTTCAGGTATATAGCTAAGTGATTCAGTTATACATACATACATGTATATATTTTCAGTTTCTTTTCCCTACGGCTCATTACAAGAAATTGAATATCGTTCCCTGAGCTATACAGTAGGTCCTTGCTGTTTATTTTATATATAATAGTATCTGCAAATACATTGACCTTTGGAGGCTCTATAATCCCAAAAAATCTTTTCAGAACCTCTTCCTGCTGTCACTCGTATAACACTGTATTATAACTGTTTATTAGTCCTTTTTTTTTTCTGAAAAATGCGCTCCATTAGATTAGGGATGGTATCTTATAGCCTGAATTCCCATCACTCAGCCTAACACTTGATGTAACAATGCGAGGTAGCAACAAATTATTGGACAAAAATAAGACAAGTGATTTAAGACAAGAGTGTTAGAAAAACTTTCTGTTATCCTGACCCTTCAAGCCAAAGCATGAAATGAAGTACCTGACTCCAAAGCTTCTCCACGTGTGAAGAACGAATCACTTGGACTGTTAACTGTGCAGATTCCTTGGCTATCCCCAGGGAGTCTGAATCCATAGGCTTGAGGGCTGTGGAGTCTGCATTCTCCACTTGTGATCCTGGGGCAAAAACACTGCCTCTCCTCTGGGGGAGCTGTTTGTCTTCAGATAAACTATTATATCCTCTCAGCCTGTTTTCTGTAAAATGGGGTTGTTCAGAGAATCAAAGAGAAAAATAAATGTGAAAGCAATTGAACCATTTGTGTAGTGCAGTGCAAACCACCTGCACTGGAATCACCTGTCCAAGGAGATTTCAGATTTGTTCTTTCGCTCATCCTGCATATGGGTAGATAGGGTCCATACGTCTGGCACTCCATCATCATTTTTAATTGGGATTGGAGAAGACATTTTCAGTCATGGCAAAGAGGTACTGGCTGGTTTGCAGTGGCTTGTTTGGAACGTGGGTGCTAGTTACATTGTTCTTTTGTTTCTAATGGAGGAGGCAGGTTTTTGTTGTTTATTTAGTTCTTTGAGGGTAATTATGGGCAGTATTATCTGTGAGTATTTTTTAACCTAGGAAGAAATTGCTGAGTGCCTACCATTAACTCAGAAGATATTTACTAAGTGCCTACTGTTTATCTAATACTAAAATACGCAAAGTTGAAGCCCGTCTATACATGAATTCCATAATATCTTTGCTTGAATAGTGCATTCCAGCTTTATGATGGACTCTAGGTCACTTCATTTGTGCTGTTGAAGGACCTCCCCAAAAATAATTACAAAACATCTTTCAGAAGCTTTCTCTCATATATGTTGATTCATTCACTCATTCATTTGCTTACCCACTGAACTCATATTGATTGAGTACCTACTTTGTGCCAGGCACTGGGCGAGGCACTAGGGGTACAAAGATGAATTAGACATTGATATCTCCCTCAGGAAGTTTACAGTTTCATTGCTCAGACAAGATAAGTAAGTAGATAGAAGATACTGTAATTAAGGGCTGATACTACTGTTAGAGACAGTAGCAATTCAACTGATAAGACACTCATTCTAGGCACTGTGCTAAACCCTTCATATGAGCCGTCCTATTTTGCCCTCCCAATATCGTGTAAGGTTCTATCATTACCCTTTTATTATCCTTACTATATCTGTAATGAGGCTTAGAGATGCTAAGTTGCCCAAGGTCACACAGTAAATCAATATCAAAGGCAGGCTTAAACCCTGGCTGTTTAATTGTAGTACCACCCTCTTAACCACACCTGCCCTTTTGCTGCTCTGAAGTTGGCATATGGCCACAGAAGCTCAGAGAAGTCTAACAGCAACAGTAAGAACAGCCTTCGCGGTGACAGTTTATCAAGTGTCTATAATGTGCCAGGTACATCAAGTGCTTATTACCTCCCTTCATTCAAGAATACACGAAGAAAACCTTGTTCCCATTTTATAGATATACAAACTAAGGCCCACAGGTGTTAAAGTTGCGTTCACATCTCCCCAGCCAGTAAGTGAATGCCCTGGGCTTCCAACTTGGGTCAGATTGACCCCAAAGCCCATACTCCTTCCATTTTTACTCATACTGATTGGGGTTAGGTGTTCTTTGTCTCTCAGGAAGTTACTTCTGGATTTGCTCTTCTGTTGTGAGTTTGAGATTATCCACACAACCAATCTAGACCACTTAGACATTGTTTAAACAGCATCATACTTGGGATGGTCCAACCTTGCTGGGTCTCTGGGTTTAAGGAAGTGATGGGGTATATGATTATTGAAGGACAAATGTTCTGTCCCCACCAGTAAATTTTCATCATGTTGCAGTGGTCCTCAAGTCAGAGAGACAGCATGTTGGTGGAAGAGTGGGTTTACGTCACGGCCTGGACTGACACTACAGTCACTTTATGACTCTTAAGTCTTTGCTCACCTGGGCAGGCTGACACATCGTTCCCATGCTAAGTTAAGTATTTTCAAAAAGAGGAGAGTCCATCAAGGCTCAGAAATTATCCTATCAGATTTCAAGGCCACACTTTTATATTAAATCTTATTTTTAAAAATCTCACTCAGGGGAATATTGGTTTTCCTTTACCATTTAAATCATTTCCTTGTGCCTCTGAATATATCACAAAAAACATTCACCTCTTTCTCTTTATCATGTACAATAGGATACAGTCGTGTTTTTGACAGAAATGATAAATCCTGAACTGATGTCTTGTGCTTACCTTCCTGTGGTAAGGTTTCCAAAGTTATTACTATTTCATGGGTCAAAACCAAACCAGCTCCCTAGTCCAAAGTACTTTAACTTGTATTTGGCGATTGGCCGTATCCTTTAATATTCTCTCCCTCTCCGTCTCTTTCTCCCTGTCTCATTTGCAATCTCAGTGAGAGTTTTGGTAAAGTTGTATAATCCTTGGATCAACTTCCTTGTACCATGTTTTCATATGCCATCAGGGTACACAGGTCGGTGAAGGGCCAGTTCCCCTGGGTTTATCCTCTGTTCTCGTGTTGTGGCTTTAAATTTGTACAGCAAATAACTCAGAACCATGTTATTGCCTGGGTGTGAGTGCTGGCAGGGAAACACAGCCGTGGTAGTGCACAGAATCTGTCTGTGTTAGCCCTCTGTCACCGACGACTCAACCCAGCTTTCGGCTTCACCTAAATGATAAATGGTCCTATTGTTTGGGTTTCGTATTAAGAGAAAAAACGGGACTAAATCGAGATGAAGCAAGGACAGAGACCCATTTCATTGCACTGTACTTTAATATTCCTGAGACCCATGGCATTACGGGTGGCTTCTTTTAACAGCCGTCTCTCTCCAGGGCGGAACACTATGCTGTCTTTGTTTCATCTGATCTTTCAGCTAAATAAGAGATGGTCACTTATCCTCTCGACTCCCATATCCTGCTGTATTTCTGTTGCTAAAAGAGAAACTGACCACACGGGAAAAGGTAGAGGTTTCAGGCAGGGCATTTCAGCGTGTGTTTACAGGCAAGACTGACTTACTCAGCAAATCCTGCTCGGAGGAGCTGCAGCCAATGAAGAGGCTATATCCCGGCTTGCTTGGGGGCTTCTGAGTTTGAGCTGCATGCAGAAATGTAAGGCACTGCTTCCTGGCGCTGATGGCAAAATGGGACCCATCTCCAGTTATTCCTCGGGTTCCCTAGCTTTGCAGATCTGGGAGAGAGCCTCCCTTCACATACTGGTGATGTAGCCAGCTTTAAAGGCCGAGAGAATCCTCATGGATTCAGGAGACTGGTTTTTTATTTAGATTTTTTTTTCTTTTTTTCATTTTTTTTGGAAGATGAAATGCTTCTCTCGTTACCTGCCTTACATCTTCAGACCTCCGAATACCATCCTCTCTTCCAGCTGCCACACGGAAGGTACAGATCAGAGAGGGAGAGTGTCTGGGTGGGTGGGAAAAAGTGGGCTGGTGTATGACTTCCCACAGGCTCTGCTGATACTGCCTTCTGTAGCTACTAGCTGACTGTCGTGCCTGGCAAAAGCTTGTATCTAACAGACTTAGATCTGCTTCTAAAATCAGTCTGTCTGCTACAAGGAAAGTATTTTCCCAAGAGCCAGATAATGTTGCAAAGGTGATCTCACAGCTGATACAGCTGATTAGAAAATAATTGGGAAATGTTTTGCCAATTTCCTCTGTTCTCTTTCACATGCAAACAAGTAATTGGAACTAATGTTAAGGACAAAAACATTTCTGTAGGTGCCATTACGTACATTTAGCCAAGCTCTCTGTTTTGTCATTGTCCTTTTAATAACTTGGTGCATGCCCAAGAAAGCAATTAGCAAAATAGAATGAGCTTCCTACATGACTGTGGAGTGTCGGGTGTTGAATTGGTCTGCTCAGAGTCTGTACTTGGGGTGCAGGGCTGGAAGACAACAGCTGACAGTCAGTGCTTGCTGGAAATGTGGTTTGTAGGGGGTCCTAAGTTGATGCCTTAAGGCGAGGATGAACTGAATCTTGTACCAACAGCTCCCCAGTTTCTGGTCCTTTCGGGGACCTCCTCTGCTGCCTTCTAACCTAGCGTGATGTGCATCCGTGTGCGGGGACTTTCTGTGTGCACGTGTGTGTGCCTTGTAAACATTCTTCAACTAAGCACTGCAGGTTTCAGCATTTCTACCATCAGTAGCTGGTTGTGCATCTTCTATGTGTGATATGCCTGTTTCTTTTGATCTGACACATCCTTGGAAAAGATCAATTTTAAGCAAAGCAACTGGCTGGCTGTTTGTCAGCCTCAGGGGTTGTCCTACAAGCGGTCCTTGAGGGAAGAGGGCAGGGGATGGTGAGGAACGGCAACTCTGCCTCAGGTCCGGACTGAGCTGGTCAGCAGTCTGTTCTGAAAACCCACCCCTGTGTCTAGTCCTCACAGGAGGAGCCTGGGGTTGGGGGCTGTGTCTATCAAATGAGAGAAACTGTATTTCACACATAAGGTGATTTTTAATCAGTACCCCCAGGAAAAGGGAGTAGAAATTTGGGATCACCTTTGCATTGAGAATGATGATATATTTTCCATAGACATTGATATTTCATCGATTTTTTTTCAACTGGATATTTTCTTTAAAATTTCATTGGTTGCTAAAGGAGATGGCTCATTGAAAAATCTTTCTTCCCTCGGAGAGAGAAACTAGCATGTTCCTATATATACTGCGGAGAGGTAAGGGGTAGCAGGGGTAGATGTCTCCGGGGGAGCTTTCCAAACACAAAAGACTTAAACTTACATGGAAAGCTGCCTGAATGTTTTCTGATTGGTCCTCTGTCCTCTCCTCCCATCTTAAACTTTGAGAACCCAAACATGTGGTCTGTTCAGTTGCTGTTTTGCCTATGAATCAACTAAAGATCCTGCCTCATATTGACAAAACACCACCATAACAGGAACTTTCTTGAACTCTTTTTAAATCAAATTTAAGTGATTTATTCCGTCAAAGTGGAACCCCCATTTTAATCATGTCAAAACAGACACTCTCTGAATCACCAATTATCATCTGATTTAGGGGAGGGGTAGGGAGGCGTGTCTGTAAATTTGTTGTAAACCTGTTAAAGACAGTGGGCGAGGATAAGAGCATGTGTCCAACATTAACGTCATGGAAGGGGCACTAGGGAACAGTTGAAAAGGCAGGAGTTAAATATCTAGCAACCAGGGCCAGGTCCCTTAATTGCTCTATGCTCAATTTCATCTCTAAAATGGAAACAAAAAGACCTACTCCCAGGATGTTGAGACTTAAAAGCGATAATTAAAGTTGTTCACAAAGCTTGCTACCTGATAAAGTCTGTCCATTTTTAAGTCCCAGTCCCCATGCACTTTCTTAGGTATTCAAGTCTTCTTTATTTGTTATACCATCTTAAGCAATGAGTGGTTTCCTCAAAACACATCTCAGTGTCACCAGAAACTTGTTACACTTATTTAGAGTTTGAGGAGAAAAAGAGGTCAGAATGAATCTGAGTTTGTGTTCTCCTTTTTATATGGTTAGCGGTCATATCACCCAGTAGTCTCTGTCCTGGAAACGTTATGGCTGGGGACTTCCTATTTTATTTAATTGAAAAAGTCGAGAATGAATAACTTGTGTACATCCCCGTGAGTGTCAGATAAATCCAAATGATTCAAACAATCCCCTTAAGAGGGATTCTAGGACAGCTTTAAGGGCTTTCACAGTGCCTGGGCTGCTTCGGGAACGGAACGATCCTACTGAGAAAACAAGCGTTGTCCTCCCAGCTTTGCCTTGACGTCGTTTTCTCAACGCAGGAGGATCCTTGAATCCCATCTCCACCACATGCCAACGAGGTGATGTTGGGTAGTTCCTTCACCTCTCTGAGCCTCAGTTTCCTTATTTGCGAAACATGCGAATAAATACATGTGCAGAACGCCATACACAGGGTGGTGACGAGGATGAGGATGAGGCTGCTAACCAGCCTTCACTTGTGTTTACTACGTCCGAGGCATTATCTAAGTGCACTGTATAGAGCAACACATTGCACACAGGGTAAATCAACAACATGTAGTCAACAAATATTAGTTCTTTTTCCCCTTGCTCTCTCGTTCTCTGCCTCCAAGCCTGTTTCTTCATCCATCACATAGAGATTGGGTCCTCCATACTGCAGCCAAAATGTTTGTTTGAAATAGGACACCACCACACTGCCTCCAACACAAACACACTGGCATTTAACCTCTCAACGGCTTCCCATGGCCTGTAAGGTCCTGCATATTCTGACCCCTGCCTGACTCTCCTGAGTGACCCCAGACACGCTTGATCCTGCCTGATCTCCAGCCACAGGCCTTGGGTTCCGCAATATTTTCTCTCTGACCACAAATTTTGGGGATGAGGCTCTCTCTCTCCCCTCTGCCCCATTCTTTGTTCATTCTAGCCTTCACCTCTTAGCTAAAGCTGAGAAGTCATCCTTGACCCTCAGCTGATGGTAGCTCTTGAAGAACTGGGTTTCTTCCCTTCAGAGCTCCCATCCTAGTTTGCCGTTATGAGCAGACTGGATGAAACTGTTTTGTTAGTATCTGGCTCCCTGTTGGACTGAAAGCTTCATGAGAGCAAGACTCCCATGTGGTTTTGCACTAGAACAAGACCAAGTGTGTAACGGGTACTCGATAAATTTTTATTGAATGAAAAGATGACAAACACCAAGGCTGTTGTATAGATACATCTTAAAAACATGCAAAAAACATTCTGCAAAGGATTAACTCTTATGTGAATGCTGGTTGTTTTAACTGTTGTGGGTTGGGGAGCTTTTGGTGGCCATGCTTGAGGGATCTGCTTTTATTACCATGGTCTAACTTGAAATAAGAGGTCACCAACAGAAAAAAAAAAAAAAGAACAAGTAAATAATGTTGATGCACAAACAGGGTTTTGAGAAGACAGTTGGACTGTCTCCCTTCCTCTGCAGACCTCATTAAGGACCCTCCCCCCACAACCCATGCCCCCATAGAAAAGGATTCATCCAGCAAAATGGCTTCAGGACTAGAGGAACAAAAATCCCAATCCCAGACAAAAAGAAGTGATTCCAGATAGGATGAGAGAGGCAGTGAGGTATGAGGCACCTTGCCTGATGTTTCCGGATGGGCCTGGTCTGGCCCCTGATACAGGAGGGCTGTGTTTGTGTTATCTAACAAACGAGTGGAGGCACATCCTTTTCCTAAAGGGTAACGTGTCCTATCCCTGATTGTTTCCGTGCTACAAACTCTATTCATCCTTTATAACTCAGTTTGAGTCAAGTCTTTCTGGGAAGACTTGCTCCACAACTCCAAAGGTGGAGGTGTTGTTCTGAGTCACCTAAACCGCAGTTATAGTGGGAAGAAGACAGGAGAAGGGGACGCACCACAAAGCCTGTGGGTCACTGGCTGCGGCTCTGCAACCCCATTTGCCCATCACGCAGTCTCTTGTATTGGCTGCCATCATCTCCATGTTGCAGATTAGGAAACTGATGCACGCCTACTTCGCCAGAGCCAAGGTTTGTCAAGGGACAGAGCAGAGACCCCAGTCCAAACTGTCTGAGTCAAAATTCAGGGCTCCTGCCCTTTACCTTGTACATTTCCTTCTGAAGGTCAGTGTGAGACTAGCCTTCAGGTTATATTGAAACGGCCTATGTCCGTGTCCGTCTCCTGGTGGCCAGGAGCACCTTGGGCATGGGGATTCTGCCCTATTCATCTTCAGTCTCTGCAGCCTGTTAGGGCAGAGCTTGACTAGGTAGATGCTCAAGAAATTCTTCTTCAGTGAACAGG